AAGCACGGTATGAGCGGACTCCTGAACTCTTTAAAAACAATTCAAACATTGCTGTCAAAGTTTTGCTGAGTATGTATCTCACTATCATATTTTAATAGCCGCTAACAACCAATCACAATCCCATCCTGAGGAATCGAATGAGTAAACTTGGGTTGTAGAGTTGATCTCCAATCCCAAACACTAACTATGACAAGAGAAAACAGAAAAATAAATCGCTCAAATAAGTTAAAAACAAATTATACGACTTTCTCCGGCAGCAAAATTGAGTTCATAAAATTATCCTGTCATCTTCTGGTTGTTGTTACTAAACTGACAAAATACAACATCAAACAATAATTTTTTTCTGAAGTTTTAAAAGTTATATCATATTGCATTAGATTTTGTAAGAAAAATGGATGTTTTCTAGACTGGTTACTGAGTTTTGGATACACTTGCTATGAATTTCATAACTGAAATATATTTTTAATTACATAAAATACATTATGTTCTCATCGCTTTCTAAGTTTGACTGCAATGTCATCATTTTAAAAAAGCTGAAAATTTCTTTGCAGAAAAAATGCAAAATCAGATAAGTATTTTTTGATATGTCTAAGTATTTGTTTTTTTACTTTCATTTCGACATTAAAAAAATTCGACAATAAGTTTTGATTATTTTTTCAAAATAAAGCTAGGAGACTTGCCTTCCACCTTATTCTTCAATGAAAAACAGAAAACGTCTCCCTATTCACACCTTTTCTTTGATCCGATCGAAAACGCTCAGGTCCAGAACCTCGCACATTGGCAATTTAATTTTTCTTTTCTAAGTTTCTTCTTCAAACACAAAACTCACAAAATAATCGGATATTGACAAAAAAATTTTTCACATTTAAGTTAACTGACACCAGCGCTTAGAGTTTCACAAAAATCTCTTTCTTAAGTCGAAATCACAAATTGAGTTTCTAAGGTAAAGGAATCGTTTATCAGCTTTTTTTCCCGATGTTTGTCAAGAAACTTCACTTTTCATCTCGGTTCACCATCTAGACACAATTTTTCAATAAACAACGTCTCTTGCGGATTTTGGAAAAATGTTTCTACTACATGAACAATTGAAAAAAACTAGGACACCAAAAAAACAATTTGCTTTTTTAATATTTGAAAAATTTGATTCCTTTTTTGACACACTATTTGATAGGGTCGACTTATTGCAAATATGATTTTGCTCTGTCAGGAAAAGAAAAATTGTACGCCTCTAAGTTGAACCGTATAAAAGACCAATCTGGAAAGCTCCGCTCTTAAAGTTTTATTTCTTCTCTACAGACAAGGCTTATTTCATACCGATCTGCAGCTAGCACCCTCGCAATCAATAGACGCTTGAAGGCGCTAGCTGATTAGAAAGAAAATAATAAGTCAACTCTGCGACCGAATTACAATCGTTGTCCGCGAGGAAACCGTTCATGCTACACAGCCCCAAACGAAATGTCTTGATTGCGGAAAT